AGAGTCACACAGAAATAGTGGTTTTACAAGGCTAAGCATGAAGGCAGGTGTCAGCCTACTCCACCCATGGTGGAAACTGATGCAGATGGCATTTGGTTCTGCCTCAGGGACCTTCCAACACCTCCTGAAAGATTCCAATGGAAGCTGGGGTGCCATGACCAAACAATGCCTCTAGTTTATTCTGGATTATTCGGTCCAAACATGACATGCCTGACACAGGGTTCTAAGAAAAACCCTGACCCACTCTTATGCCCTCTTCACTAGGAGGTTGTATCCCATACCTGCTGTTGTTCACAAGATTGGAGGAGGGAAGTTGTGGCAGTGTCTTCCTTCTCTGTCCTAAACCAGTTCCAGAGGCACAATCTAAAGGTCTGGACACAAGAGTAGAGACTACAACCACTTCCCCAGCACTAGTCCCAGGATACAGGGATGGTGCTGAGATTGAACTTTAATTCTCTCCCTCCCTACAATGTTGGAGGGTTTCTGTCCATAATGAGCTACTAATGCTGTTGATGGGGAGGACATGGTGATAACTTCTTCCACCTTTTCTCATACATCCTTTCCTGTTGTTTTGTTCTACTAGAGAAGTACTCTCTGGTCCACACCACTTGACTCTCATATGTTCTTTGTTTTGTGGTGCAATCTTTATATTCTCTCGTTGTCAGCTGCCATCTTGCTCTGCTTCTGGGGAATCCTCTTGAATGATGACATTCTCTGAGTCAGCTTAGTGTGCCTCTACTACATGACATGAATTGTATTTCTTTGTTTTCCTTATTTGCCAGTTGTGGGGCCTGAACTCTGGGCCTGGTTGCTGTCCCTCAGCTCTTCAGCTCAAGGATAGCACTCTACCACTTGAGCCACAGCACCAATTCCATCTTTTTCTGCTTATGTGTGCTGAAGAGTTGAGCCCAGGACCACATACAAGGCAAGCACTCTACCAGTGAGCCACCTTCCCAGCTCTTCTTTGTTTTCTTTACTTTCCTCAAAAGGGAAGATTTACTTCTTTGCAGATGCGTACCTCATTGGCAAAAGTGTGGCAATTGAACACAGACACAAGGCAGCCTGCTTTCCTATTTACTACTAACACAGCAGGCCCTGCATCTCTGCTGATATTGGTTGAACTCAGGTGGACAATCTGCTCTCAAACTGAATTGTATTTCTTGAGAGTTTCTTCATATGCAAATCTAATTCTTTCCATGCTCCTCTCATCTTCTTTCACCATCCTAGAAACTCCTCTGGGTTCACCAATTTTATTCTGACAGAGACCTTGTGCAAGAACTCAGGAGATAATTTCCCTTCCTCGTCATGGATTCAGTCTGTTTATAGCCTACTGATTAAGTCTGACTGCAGAGACTTGGGGCCCTGTTCATACAATGCCACATTTCATTTATTTCTGAGGCATATTTTTGACATAACCATGTCAGATGAGAGTTACCACATCTATAATGCTATGTATGCCATGGCCCATGCCCTCCACCACATATTTCTTCATCACATGGAAGAGCCATGAGTGGACAATGCACAAACAAGGGCATTTCTCTCTTCACAGGTAATGGCATTGCTTTTGGGTGATCTGCTCTAGGCATGTAGACTTTCTATTGAAGTTTCATCGCAGATAGCACTAGGTCATCTGGCTCCATTTTGGAAAATACCAGAGACACTGGGCCTATAGTGCTGACCATGAAATGACTGTAGAACTATGAAGACAATGGTTTGAAGATCGCTGCATCCGTGACAAGGAAATGCTGTGCCTTCTGTCTCAATCCTCATTCTGTGGGGAATAACTATCCCCTTTCAATAGCATATATCCAAATACTCCTTGTACCTTTTTAAAATAACTGATCAAGGGAGACTGGTTCTTGAAAAGCTAAGATTGTCTGGACACAAGTTGCTCACACCTGTGGTTTACTCCTGACTACAATTAAAAACCAAATAGAAAGAGGTGGAATTGTGGCTCAATGGATAGAATGCTTATTTTGAAAGAAAAAGAAAAACACCTTAAATTGAGTGCCTTGGCCCTGTGGTTGAGGCACAAGGTAGGCACACACACACACACACACACACACACACAATGAACTAAGTCTTCTTTAATCTTTCAGTTGTCATAAATATTTTATAATTTACTTAGTTTATTGTTTATCTATTTTTCAGACTGACTCTCTGATCACAATCATAAAATAAGTGATAAGAATCCATTATAAAGAGGTGATAGAAGTCTGTCATATTAGAAATGAATTCTAATATAAATTCTAACCAAATAATGATATTTGGTTGGATGTGGCTGGTGTTTCAGTCCCTTGAAATTGAGTATCTCCATTCCATTTTGGATAACCAGGTTTTAGAAACTTCTTAACAAGTTATTCCACCGTATACCTGCATTTGTTAGAGTTGATTGGATTCCTGTGGTGTGTGTGAATCATGTGGTGGGAATGAAGGATAATCTCTGTGTATCCATTGTTCTGGGATTCTGTGATAACTCTGGGAAGCACTTCACCATACTGTAATGTGTCCCTTTTAGCTGCATCCCTTTTTGAAGAAGATCCAATTTACCAATCCTGTTGGACACCAAGTGGTTTTGAATGAAGAAAGGAAATTGGAGGCAGAGTATGACATTATGAGCTTTTAGAATTTTCCAGAAAGTCTGGGACAAAGGGTGAAAGTTCACCAGTTTTCTCCAACTAGGCCACATGGCCAACAACTGATTTTGTTTGAAAATCTGATAGAGTGACCCATGGGAATTACCAAGGTGGGTCATTTATACATCTTCATTCTCTCCTTTTTTTAATGTACTGTTCGGGATAGAGAAATGGAATCACTTATAAGAAGAGAAAAAGATCCCGAAAGAGAGGACAAAAACATTTGATACGCCAGACTCCATGTCTTGCAGTGTTCTTTACAATTCTATGAGAACAAGAATGATTCAGAAGAGTCCCTTAAGACATCAAAAGTGTTGAGGAGCTTGAAGTGGGAGTATTGTCAGGCCACCACTGTGTTATACAGTCAGGAGTCTAACGGACAAGCAGGCCCATATCTCTGAGTGCAGAGATCTTGACATCATTCAATGCTGTAGCTGTGGCTCAGTGGAGTGATGTCACCCACACATGCATGACAGAAACACACACATTGTTGTCTCTAATTCTGCTGGGCCATTCCTGAAAAACAGAAAAGTATCTGCACAAAGATAGAAATGTCTGGAAGCCCAACAGATTATTCCATTTACAATGACTCAAAGAAGAGAGTGCTCACTGTTCTGTAGGTACTTATGTAATGGCTGCTATTGTTGGACAACTATGTATTCAACACAGGGATGTTAATGAATTTTACTACAATAAAGCTTCATGGAGAACCAAAACAGCCTAACTAAATAAAGTGAATGAGTGTTAGACTGACATATCAAATGTCTACATCAAACTGTATGAAGTCTCTGATCAGTTACCCACTAGAGAAAAGGAAACTTCAAATCCAATAACTTTTTGCCCTTTATTGAGTATAAACTTACAATTTGGGGCTAATAATGAATAGGTAGTTGCCCTTATACATTCATCATACTCCAATAGTAAAGGAAGTTAGTATAAAGTAATTTCTAAGGAAAAAGTCTAAGGTATAAGGCACCTGTTCCTGGATTCTCAGCAAAATAAAATGAATGTTTACTTTGTCAAAGAGAACAACGTACCAGAATGATTCTGATCTCATGTCTTTTGCCCTGAGCAGCGAGCCCAATGCAAACACAGTTGTAACAGTTTGTGTTTAAACAGTCACAAGTTACATTAAAATTGCTCACACTTAGCTGAGTACCAGTGCCTTAGGCCTGTAAGCTTAGCTCCTCAGAGAGCTGATATGTGAGGATGATGGTTCCAAGCCATCCTGGGAAGGAAAGTTCATGAGTCTTTTATCTCCAGTAAACCAACAAAAGTCAGAATGTATAGGTGGTTCAAGTGGCAGAGCACTCACTTTACACAAAAACAATACTCAGAAACAACACCCAGACCCTGGCTTCAATTATCAGAACCAGCACCAAATAAACAAAACCCATAAGAACATCAGCTCATTTTCATTTCTTTAGGTGGCCAAGCTGGAAATTCACTGTGAAGTACAGAAAGATGAAGGATATGAAATAGAAATAACAACACAGAAGACAGAGATCATAGCTTGACAAAAATAGGAAGTTCTGAATAATATCATTGATGCTGTTATTTTTTTGTCAGTCTCGGGTCTTAAACTCTGGGCCTGGGTGCTGGCACCACACAGCTGTCCAAGTGGGAACAAGAATTCCCGGAGCACTCAGGACATGATGTGGACACAGCAGAGCAAGACCCATCCATACACCCACAGCTACCAGGATCCTCAGTATGCAGGCCTGCTACATTCCCAGAAAGTCATAGATCATAGAACATCTCTCTCTAACAATGGACTGCCAATATATTGATAGGTACAGAATGATGGTCAACAACATGCAAGCACTGAAGAAGTTCAAGGTTCACAGCACAAATTTCTTATTGGATATGTGCATTGACCTTGAAGTACTGGTCTGTAATGGTAGAATTCCAGGACACTGTAGGTAACACCAGCAGCAGTAAATAAATACATTAAGCTCCTCTGGATTCTTGTGCATGTGCAGTTGGTATAAAAACCTAATGGGTCATTTCACCAAACTTCTGTGTCTCCCTTTTCCCTAGGTTTTGAGCCTCCCAATTATCATCTTTGACAGTGCTCCAATAACTCTGACTGGACCTTTGCTGGCCATGGCGCTCTATGATCATTTGATCTTCACAAGGCATCCACTGCTGTCATCAATTCCCATCATCCCTAGTGACCCTTGATTGGTTGTGCTTTTTTTTCTTTTCAACGTTTTGCTTTCACACAAGTGTGTGAACAACTCAACAAGAGAGGAATCCATCCCTGGAGTTTCATTATCTACAGTCTTGGATGAAATCATGGTCTTGACGATGTGGAGAGGAAGATTGTTCACATGTTTTCTAACTTCTGTTTTGACCTTGAAGCTGGGCCCCAGATGCAGAGCCATAGGGCAGAACGGGCTCTGTATTCCTCTAGGACAGTGGTGGCCTTCCAGGTAACAAGAAGCCACAAAAACTGAAGATCCATTTAGACACCACCCTGACGATGCAGGCACAGTCTGCATCCAGAATCACAGCTCCATGTCAAAGCAGCAGCAATGTTCCCTGTGGCTCTGACACTGCTTCTCCTCCAGCATCGTCTCCTGATCACTTTCTCTGAAGATGGCAGACGCATTTGCACAGAGAAATCTGTGGCATGCAGCAGGGGAGATGTGGTCATTGCTGGATTTTACTCCCTCTATTCTTGGGAATTGGTCGTTCAAGGCTTGGATGACCCTACCCTGCAGCAACAGAATATTCAGTAAGTGATTTCTTGGATTTACTTAAATTTTGAATTTTCTCTTTGTGTTACAGTCAGAGGTGGGGAAAGTTTGGACACAATCCCTGATGTGCTCTGCATCTTCTACACTGCCCTCACTACAACAGCTCTACTTCATTTCAGGTGTTTCCGATGAATATTTTTCTTTCTTCCAAGGGTACAGAGTTTTCTGTCTGTCTTCCATTCCACTCCCCTTCCAGAGATGTCCGACCACCCCACCATCACTGTGACTCCTCCACTCATCACTGTTACTCAGGGTCACTGGGGTGACCAAGAGTGCATACAAAGACACTAAAGTGCAATGTCCCCATCCATAGGGCAAAGACCAGGGAATCTTCAATCCATTCTGTTCTTTATACTTTTCAAAACAGGACCAATGTTTGGACCGCCTTCAGGGCAATGTTTCTTAGGATAGACATGCACTTTCTGCTTCTGGGGTTATTTCATGTCAGCAAAGCTGTGGGAATGGGGAGCTGCTGGACAGATCAGTAATAAGAGATGCATGACAGATTTGATTTTTTCCCCTTAACTAATGTAAGTAAGCTTCTGTCCTGCTATCCATGTCTTGGCCTGTCTCCTATGTCATTCCCAGAAACTCTGTTTCCATTCCTTGTTCTCTAACATGTTTCTAGACTTATTTATTTTTCCCTGCTCATTACTTCCTAAACTAGATTTGAATGTTTTTTTTCCTATATAGTGTCAGTAATGGGTCTTGAACTCTAGGGTTGGATGCTGTCCCTGTGGTATTCAGCTTAAGACAAGTGCACAATTGCTGGTGCCACAGTGTCATTTCCAATTTTCTAGTGGTTTATTGCAGATAAGAGTCTCATGGACTCTTCTGCCCTCGTTGGCTTTGAACCCTGATCCTCAGATCTCAGCCTCCTGAGTAGATAGGATGACAGGCATGAGCAAAGGTACCTGGCTTTTTCATATGTTTTATACACACTTTCATTCATGCATTTGACCCAGGTGAGCTCACTACTGTCAGATCTATAGAATTCTCTGTAAACTAGGGAAGTCATGGATGAATCTTCTCAAACAAGTTGTGTGGAAACAACCTGTATGGGGTTTGTTCAGGAGAGGAATACTTTATTCCATGAGAGATTTATGAGAGATATTGAATCCAAATTAATGTGGTGAGGAGGTGAGTGAGAAAGATGGGGCTCATGTGTAAACCCAGCATTAGAAAGGTAACCCATGTGAGGAGGGAGATGTCACAGCTATCCTCTTCTCTGTCTATTCTCTAATTGAGCTGTGTGTGTGTGTGTGTGTGTGTGTGTGTGTGTGTGTGTGTGTGTGTGTCTGTGTGTCTGTGTGTCTGTGTGTCTGTGTGTGTGTCTGTGTGTGCAAGTTCACATACACTCTGGTACTCATGCATCATCTCAAGTCCTGATGGCTGTCCCTTAGCATTTTTTCTGCTATGACTGGCACTCTACCACTTGACCTACAGCTCTGCACCAGTTTCCATGGAGTTGCTTGCACATAAAATTTGTCACAGACATTACTGCCCAAAGTGACTACAAAACATAATTCTCCTATATCATCCTCCTTAGTAGTTATAATTGCAGGCCTGAGCCACCAGTTCCCAATTCATGTTTAGTATTACTGACATTCTAAATGTCAAGCCTCAGTTACATTGTACACAATGACATCAGCAAACATCCATGAGAGTTGAGATTCTCTCTATGAGAATTTCCCTAAAATGATTATATTGAATGCTAGGAGAACTCATTGTTCTGGAACATTCTTGATTCATATTGGCATGTGATACCATCTGGCCTTTGAAATGTCTCCAAATTATAACAGTCTGACTGGTCTGGCTTTGTGCCTGTCTTTCCAGAAATTCCAGGCTGGCGTCAGTGTTCCTGAGTCTGTAGTGACTTCCACAATGTCAACACTAGTGGGAGCCAAGGACCTGTGAGAAGTCAGCTGTGAGGCAATAAACCACTTCAGTACCAGAGAAAACCAAAGGCAATTTTAGTGACAAATACTCTGTGGTTCTAACAACCTCACGAGAACCCCAATGAGTCATGGGTCCAAATATGCCTTCTTCTGGGTGCACAGGGGGCCCATATGCCTCATCCACAGGGAATGGCCTTGTGCATGGATTCTGCCTTACAATAGCAAGATCTGTGTGCTGGAACAGGCATTAGACACATCTGTGGCCACCAGAACTCTACTACACCTGGAATACCAAACAGCAGGATCACCAAAACAGATGACAATTAATGGTTAATGAAGTTTCCCTCTAAAAGTAGGCACTTGGGATCCTGGACTTTGATTGCAGTAGAAGAAATTCTAGACAAGTCACAACAGTAAGAAAATGTGGCAGAGCTTTCTTGAGTAAGGCAGCAAACAAACAAGTAGGTAGACAAACAGGAAACAGAAAGGCAAAGACACACTCTGAGGAGAGACACACAGCTCTTGGGCTGCCATAGGTATTCAGATGGTAAATGCACGACGTCTGACTTCAAAGATACACAAACATAGGTTTGTCATCTTTGCTCTAATCACACCTAGTGTTTCACTTTCTGAGTTTCTGTATGTTTTGGCCATTCTTTAGAGATAATTATCCTTGAGGGAAGGAAGGTGTGCTGTTGTCTATATTTGGGGTAGGATGTTGCTTAAGTTTTGGGGAAGCATCTTGGGGGGAAGGCATTTGCCCTACAAGACAACTGCTAATTCATATGATGAGAAATGCATTTTTCAGGAAGCAATGCAAACTGTTGCCTCTCTTTAAAGTAAAGATGGTGGCCCTGTTTCTAAATCACATGTTTTGAGTTGCCTTCTCTAGGACTCATTTTTTTCCTTAATTTATCCAGCTTCTTTTTGTGCTCAATGACTTTGGTCCCTTAATCTTAAGTTATGTAGATGGATGAATAGCTCTGTTTGCTGTGAGTTTCCCATACCTCATTTTTTACTAATCTATTCTTCTCTATTTTCCCCTAAATGACTTCATTCCCTTAATATTAAGGGAAGTAGATGGACAAGCTTTGAGCTTGCATTAACCAGGCCTCATTTTCCTTAGTCTATCCTGCCTGAGTACAGCATCCTCAGTCCACTGCAATCAAGAGCAATACAGTGCTGGGTGAGAACTAAGATTGACTCAGGTTGAATGTGGTAGAGGTGTACTCATGAGCCAAGATGCCCACAACCATACACAATTAGTGATAGCTAATATAGAATTCAGATTGTCTGGTGGTAGATGACTCTCTCAGGTTTTGAGTGATTACAGAGTCTGCCAGAGGCTGTCCTCGCTATAAGGTCATGGCACAGTTCTAATGCTATTACCTAGCCCACACTAAGCTGTAGGACAATATCACCATCTTACTTCCCTGTCTTACCTATTATAATTGGGATGGAAAACCATGCAATGCTACAGCAGCATGGTAAGTTTTGTAAAGGAAGCCACAGCTGGGCATGGGTGGCTGATGCCTAGAATTCTAGCTACTTAGGAGGCTGAGAACTGAGGACAGGGGTTCAATGCCAGCCCAGGCAGAAAAGTCTGTGAGACTTTTATCTCCAGTAAAACAAAAGAAAGCCACTTGAGGCGCTGTGCCTCAAGTGCTAGAGAGCTAGTCTTAAGCTGAAGTCAGACACCAGGCCGAGAGTTCAAACCCCACAACCAACAAAAAAAAAAAAAAAGCAAGCCACAGGACCATCTTGGTGAACAGCACCATCTACACAGGCTATCTAGCATCCCCAAAGCCCAAACTGTCATGTGGCTACCCTTCAGCTACACTCTAGCTTATGCGGCTATAGACAAATGCACACTGGATTCCTAGAGCGACTTCAGTTTCTGCCTGGTGCCATCTTGAGCACTGTCCTTCTAGGTCAGTGTTCCCTGAAATTATTCACTGTGCAACGAGACTGGACTGAGCCAGATGACAAAAGAGTCACATAGCCACAGTGCCTTCACCAGGTTAAGTAGGAAGACAGATGTCAGCCTACTCCACCCATGGTGGAAACTGATGCAGAAGGCATTTGGTTCTGCCTCAGCGACCTTCCAAAACCTCCTGAAAGATTCTAATGGAAGCTGTGGTGCTAGCACCAAAGAGTGCCTCCAGTTTATTCTGGATTATTGGTCATTCATGACAGGCCTGACAAAGAGTTCTAAGAAAAACTCTGACCCAATCTTCTGCCCTGATCACTAGGAGGTTGTATCCCATACCTGTTGTCGTTCACAAGATTGGAGGAGGGAGGTTGTGGCAGTGTCTTCCTTCTCTGTCCTAAACTAGTTCCAGAGGCACAATTTAAGGTCTGTACCCAAAAGTAGAGACTATAAGCACTTGCCCAGCACTGGTCTGAGTGTATGGGAATGGTGCTGAGATTTAACTTTAATTCTCTCCCTCCCTGCAATGTCAGAGGGTTTCTACAAATAATGAGCAACTAAGGCTGGTAATGGGGAGGAACAGGGAGATGGCGTCTTCCCCCTTTTCTCACACATCCTTTGCTGTTGTTTGTTTGACTAGAGAAGTATCCTCCAGTCCACACTCCCTGACTCTCATCTGTTCTTTGTAGAGTGAGGCAATCTTTACGTTCTAGCTTTCTAGGCTGCCATCCTGCTCTGCTTCTGGGGAATACCCTTGAATGATGATATTCTCTGAGTCAGCTTAATGTGCCTCTATCACATGCCATTAATTGTACTTCTGTGATTTCTTTACTTTCCTCACAAGGTAAATTCACTTCGTTGCAGAAGGATGCACCATTGGCAAATATGTGGCAAGCGAGCACAGAAACAAAGCAGCCTGCTTTCCTATTTACTCCTACCACAGCAGGCTCTGCCTCTCTGCTCATACTGCTTGAACTCAGGTGGACAATCTACTCCCAATTGGAATTGTATTTCTTAAGAGTTTTTCCATATGCACAGCTAATTTAAGGTACTAAATGATTTGGCATGTGATCTGGGCCTGCTCCTATGTCACAGCAGACAGCAGTGTTTTTCACATATCCATACAGGGCAGAGAGGAAAAGCCAGCTTGCTCCTTCCCCCCTCGCTCTCTCTTCTACAATCTCAAAAGAATAGTCATCTCATGTATGCTGATCAAGACCTGTTCAGGAACTCTCCGAATTCTAAGAACTTTTCTTAGACTCCAAATTAGAATGCCATCCCGTTGGATCTATACATATTACTGTGTGTAGAAATCAACATTTGATTCAACAAAGTCATGAGATTTGCAGTTAATCATTTGTAATACTTGTATACCTACCCAAATTTTGTGATTTCTGTGCAGGATCAACTTAAAGAAATACCAACTGCTTCTCACCCTGCTGCTGGCTGTGGAAGAGATCAACAAGAATCCCCATCTGCTACCCAACATGACTCTGGGGTTTGAGATCTATACTGTACATTACTCAGGTACTGATCTGTTAGAGGATCCACTCACCTGGCTGTCTGGGAGGAATAAAAACATCCCTAATTACACCTGCAGAAGAGACAGCAAAGCTATAGCGGCACTCACAGGAACCTCAAGCACATTTGTCCCAATAGGGACACTGCTGGACCTCTACAAACTTCCACAGGTGAGGCTGGGAGGGGTGGGCAGATGTGAAGCCATATCCACAGTGAGTCTGTCCTCAACAGGCTGAAGAGGAGGTGGTATCACAAACCCTTCCAAATGCATAATCTCACAGGGAGAAGCCTCCAAAAGTGGGTGGGACATACACGTTTTCATTGCTGCAAATAAAAGGAGGGTTGTTAAGAGAGGAAAAGATGACCCAAAGTTCTGAGCCTTATCTGTACATGTCTACAAAGACTTCAGAACATGGGAGATGACTTTGCAAATGGGATAAGCAAACTTTTCTTCCCACCACTGTACTACCAGTTGTTATGTCGTTCACATCAGGACTGAGATTTGCCTATGACCATCCTCTTCCTGATGCTGTTTCCTTTTTTTCCCTGTAGTTCACCTTTGGGGCTTTTGATCCTCTCCTGAGTGACCATGGAAAGTTTGGGACTGTCTATCAGATGGCTTCCAAGGACTCAGGTCTAGCCCTGGCCATGGTCTCCTTGATGCTTCATTTCAGCTGGAACTGGGTGGGACTATTCATCACTGAAGAAAACTATAATGTGTGGTTCCTCTCAGAATTGAGAGAAGAGATGGGCAAGAGTAGAGTCTGCTTTGCCTTTGAGAACATGATCACTTACAGTGTCCTTTCAGATTACTCAAATGATCTATCGATGCAGCGCCAGCTAATGGACTTATCAACCAATGTGATTATCATTTATGCGGACAGTAAATTTCTACTGGGCTTCATTCTTAAATTTAGGCACTTTGTATTTACAGGCAAAGTCTGGGTCATGAACTCAACCTATGATGATGTGACTATTGCTAAAAGGCATTTTCTGATTGACTCTTTCCATGCACCTCTTATCTTCTCTCACCATCATAGAAACACTGCTGAGTTCACCAATTTTATTCTGACAGAGGCCTTCTCCAAGAACTCAGCAAATAACTCCATTCCCAGGTCATGGATTCAGTCTGTTTATAGCCTACTGATTAAGTCTGACTGCAGAGACTTGGGGCACTGTTCATACAATGCCACACTGCATTGGTTGCTGAGGCACATTTTTGACATGACCATGTCAGATGAGAGTTACAATATCTACAATGCTGTGTATGCTGTGGCTCATGCCCTCCACCAGATGTTTCTTCATTTCATGGAAGAGCCAAGAGTGCACAATGGGCAACTCACAGCATTTCTCTCTTCACAGGTAATGGCTTTGCTTTTGGGTGACCTACTCTAGGCATGCAGAACTTCTATATAAGCTTTCATAGCAGATGCTACTAGGTTGTCTGGCACAATTTTGGCAAATACAAGAAAGTCTGTTGTGCTCTCCATGAAGTGACAGTAGAGCTGTGAAGACAATATTCTTGAAGAACACTGCATCCATGACAAGGAAGTGCTGTGTCTTCTGTCCCCATCCTCACTATGTGTGGAAATAGCCATCCCCTTTTCAATAGGATATATTCAAATTCTCCTTTCACCTTTTTATAATAACCGATGAAGGGTGACTAGTTTTTTTTATTGTGAAAATACTGTACAGAGGGGTTACAATAACATGGGCAAGATAATGAGTACATTTATTACCAATCATTGTAGCCTCCTCCTTTGTTTCCCCTTCCCATCCCTTCCCATCGACCACCCCCCTGTCTTCCCTATCCTATCCTTCCCGCCCCCAAACCAAAGCTGTGAAGTTCGTTTTCGACATAACGACTTGTACATCTCATTGTTGCAATGGGTCCACCTGTATCCCTATTTAAATGATTGTTTTTCCCCTTCCTCTCCAAAAAATATACTAACATCAAATACAGTGAAAGCAGGGGTTATACTGTGGGGGAGGGACATACAAAGCAACAAAGAAATAATCTTATAAATGTGATAGAAACAATCACATGAAAGAAAAAAACGTTTGAATTCATATCTTAGTGTTCATTTCCCTAACATCACCTTATCTGACCTTTTCTGCTTGACTCATACATATACTAGGTATTGCTAATTAGGGAAACCATGGAACCCATGTATCTTTGGGCCTGGCTTATTTCACTTAATATAATTTTTTCCAAGCCTTTCCATTTCCTAACAAATTGGGCAATGTCATTCTTTCTGATGGAGGTATAGAGTTCCGTTTTGTATATATAACACATTTTCTTGATCCATTCATCTACTGAGGGGCATCTGGGTTGGTTCCACATCTTAGCTATAGTAAATAATGCTGCAATAAACATAGTCATGCTAGTAGCTTTAGAGTGATCTTGTTTGTAAACATTTGGGTTAATGCCCAAAAGTGGGATTGCTGGGTCATAGGGGAGCTCTATGTGGAGTCTTTTGAGGAACCTCCATTCTACTTTCCAAAGTGGTTAAACATGTTTGCACTCCCACCAACAATACAGTAAGGTTCCCTACTGTCCACATCGCCTCCAGCATCTGTTGTTATTAGAGTTCTTTATTTTAGCCATTTTAACTGGAGTGAAGTGGTATCTCAACGTTGTTTTGATTTACATTCATTTTAGTGATAGGGAGGTTGAGCATTTCTTCATGTGTCTATTGGCCATCCTTCTTTCCTCTTCAGAGAAGCTTCTCTTTAAATCTTTAGCCCACTTATTTATTGGGCAGTTGTTTCTTTGAGGATTTGTTGTTGAGGTATTTAATTTTTGAGTTCCAAGTATATTTTAGATATACTTGTCCATTGTATGGCTAGTGAAGATCTTCTCTAACGGTGACTGGTTCTTGGAAACCTAATATTGCCTAGACACAAGTGGCTCACACCTGTGGCTCACTCATGACTAAAATTAACTACCAAAAAGACAGAGGGGGAGCTGTGGCTCAATGGACAGAATGATTACTTTGAAAAGAACAGAAAAAAAAAAGAGTTGAGTGCCTAAGCTGTGAGGTCCCACCACAGGGAAGGCATACACACATAGACACAGACACAGACACAGACACACACACACACACACACACACACACACACACACACACACACACACACACACATACACGCACATGCAGTGAACTAAGTCTTGATTAAGGTAATCTTTCATAGTTGTCACAAATATTCTATGATACTACTTAGTTTATTATTTACCCATATTTCAGACTGATTCTCTTATCAGAATCACAAAATAAGTGATTGGAATGCAATTTAGAGAGTCCGTTGAGGTCTATCATATGATAATTCATTATTTGGTTGGTTATGGCTGCAGTTTCATTCCCTTGAAATTGAGTTTCTGCATCCCATCCTGGATACTCAGGTTTTAGAACTTGGTAACACTTTAGTCTGCTGTGGGCCTGCATTTGATACAGTTGGTTGGATTCCTGTGGTGTGTGAATAAGGGGAAGGGAATGAAGAGTAATCCATTGTTCTGGGGTTCTGTGATAACACTGGGAAGCACTTCACCATACTGTAATGTGTCCCTTTTAGCTGCATCCCTTTTTGAAGAAGATCCAATTTACCAATCCTGTTGGAGATCAAGTGGTTTTGAATGAGGAAAGGAAATTGGAGGCAGAGTATGACATTAAGAGCTTTTGGACTTTTCCAGAAGGTCTGGGACAAAAGGTGAAAGTTGGCAAGTTTTCTCCCTCTAGGCCACATGGTCAACAACTGATTTTATTTGAAAATCTGATAGAGTGGCCCATAGGAATTACCAAGGTGGGTCATTTCTACTTTTGGTACTCTCTCCTTTAAAAAAAATGTATTGTTATTAGGAAGTAGTTGTAGGAAGAGCTTACAATTCCCTAAGTCAGGTTATGATCACAATGCTTGTAGGCAATGTCACCACATCCTTATTTCTCCCCCAGGGTCAGTCTTTTCTAACCATAATGGCATGATCTATATATAAATGAGCAATAAGCTTATCCTGTTTTAAAGTTTCTTCAATGAAACTATGGCTCAGTGGTGTACATTTCAAAACTTTCTGTTTCTGGAAGTTTCTTACTAACAGATTCATGGAGGGAACAGGGGAACATATCATGACCAATATGTTGTTCTATGTTTGCATAGTGAATATCATAAAAGTGAAATGACCCCTGTGAATCATCATTCCAGCACTGTGACAAAATATCTGAGGGAATCAAATGAGAAGGCAGAAGGGCTTGCTTTGCTTCTGCCTGGAGATTTCAGACCATGGTTGGATAGATTGTTGCTTCTTAGTCTAGTGAGACAGGATGTAATGAAAGGAGCATCTGCCAGAAAAATTCACCCACTTCATGACAGTTAGGAAGCCAAGAGTGATGTCAATGGCCCTGGGTACAGCAGCACCTCCAAAGCAATTAGCCATGCTTTAGAGCGTGGGTTTGAAATTTCCCTGAGTGATTTTCTTCTCATGCTCTTATTCATCTGTAAACAGATCACCTGAATTCAAGAATAGGATGCAGGATTAACTTCCATTTCCTAATTTCCTAGAATTAACATCCAACACTTCAAGGCTCCATGACTTCCCGATAGTATGAGTGCTGGGTGTTCAGGCCCCACATGTTCTTCAGCTCATGTCAGATGAAACTGTAAGAAGATTCAGTAAATTCATTTTCTGTATGCATATAAATATTATGTGTTTTGATGATCATTTCCCCTAAATCACTGGAGTAGCTCAGATGTCAGGTAAAAGCATAAATGGTCACTAACTTTCATCTGAATATTCTCAGACTCCTCAGTCTGTGTGCAGTGAGAGCTGTGGTCCTGGATTCAGAAAGACCTCTCTGGAGGGAAATGCTACCTGTTGTTTTGATTGCACTCCTTGCCCAGAGAATGAGATTTCTAATGTGACAGGTGAGTCTGTTAGTTAGAGAAATTCCCCATCTCTCCTTCCTAACCTTCAGTCCATGCAAGCCAGTGGAGTGATCTACAGTAACATGGCAGGAACACACATGCACCCTCATGCAGAGTTCCAGGGCTACCGTTAACCATACTTCTCCTTAGAAGAAACACCCACTGCACCTCCATTATGTCTCTGATTGTATTTTCTAATCTATTACAGGCTTCATCTTAAGAATACACATGTTCCCCTCTCCTCAATCGCATTTTTTGTATTTAAAGAACCCATGGTTTCCATTATTTGTAATAACTACTATATGTCTAGGGGAAGCAGAAAAGGTTGAAAGCTATGTACTTATGACCATATAAGTTGATGTTAAGCGAAATGAACACCAAGATAGGAACACTAGTGGTTTTCCTTTCTTTTTTAATGTATTTATAATGACCATGTCCTTTTTTGTTTCTTTGGTATGTTCCACCCCCATGGTTAAACCCCTGTTTTCAATGTATTGGGTTCTGGTGCCCTGAATCTTGTATATATATTTTCCTAATTTGGGGAGGGCAAGGAAAAAACAAACTGCTTAAATAGGGATACAGCTTGACCCATTTTAACCAGTAGATGTACAAGACACTATATTGAAAAAGAACTTTACAACTTTGGCATTGTCGGGGGAGTTCTTGGGGAGGTGGACAAGGAGGGGATGGTAAGGGAAAAACAAAGGAGGAGGCAACAATGCTAGATAAGAAATGTACACTACCTTACTCATGTAACTGTAACTACACTGTACAGTATTTTTACAATAAAAAAGTAAAAAAACAAAAAAGGGAGAACAATGCTCGATAGGAAAAGTACTCATTACCTTAATCATATAACTGTAGCCACTTTGTACAGTATCTTTACAATAAAAACATATTTAATAAACAAGGGAGAAATGGAGAAAATAAGAGCTAAACACTGAAAAAAAGAAAATATCAAGGACCAGTTGTTGATCTATGAAATGATATGCAAATCATCATGGAATTGTGGATCTAACACAGCCTTTCATTTCTGAGTGCCTATTGCTGCTCATTTCTAATTAAATTTTATTTTCTATTTAGCATGCACTAATAATACAAGGGGCTTTGTTATGGTCACTCCATGTCTGACACTGGCACTAGGCTGACTAGCAATTCTTCAAATATAAAAGATTCAGAAGTACTTTATCATCTCCATTTCATTTCTCTTCTCCCTCCTCCAGCTGATCTTTCCCAGACCTTATCATATCAGTGGAGGAGCACTGTTCTTGACACAGAGCAAATGCTCCAGAAGTTTGTGTTTGGTGTAATGAGGAGATTGAGGTTTGGATTAGACCCTCTTGTACAAAGTGAAGTGGTTGGGCTGATTCTCTATTCTCCATTATGTCTTGAATGAGTAGCAGAGAGCCAGAGTGATATGACCTGTCAAGAATGCAGCACATAATGCTGGTAATTATATATTACACCTGTAATCCAAGCGATTCAGGCAGTTGAGATTTGAAGATGGAGCTTCAATGTAATGATGTACAGGAAACTCAGTAAGATTCTTTGTTACCAATAAGCACCATAAAAGCTGTAATTGGAGCTGTGGCTCAAGGGGTAGAGTGGTAGTTTTGAGCATGAATACTCTGGAAAACATCCCATGGCCAAAGTTCAAGCACTGGACGAAAGACAGACAGATGTAAGGAAGGAAGGAACTAGAGAAGGAAGAAGTGAAGAAGGGCGGGAGGGACGGAGGGAGAGAGGAAAGGAAGGAGGGAAGGAAGGAGGAAGGAAGGAGAGGAAGAAAGAGAGAAAGAAAGGAAGGAAGGAAGGAAAGAAAAGAAAAGAAAAAAGAAAAACATAAAAACGGAAAGAGAGGAGGGAAAGAAGAAGAAATGTGAGAAAGAGATTAGACGCTAAAGCATTTTGATATAGATAGTTACTCTATTGATATTGAACTCAATACAGGTCAACTGGTGAATCAGGGAAAATGAGCTAGCTACTTGAATGAAGGGGGTTGAGAAGAAAGACAAATACTGACCACAAACTAATAGTGATTCTCACACCTCACCAGACATGGAGCAGTGTGTCAGGTGTGCAGATCATCAGTTTGCCAACATCCAGAGAAATCACTGCCTGAGGAAAACTGAGGGCTTCCTGGCTTATGAAGACCCCTTGGGTATGGCTCTGGCTTGCACAGCTCTTTGCTGCTCTGCACTCACAGCAGCTGTTCTTGGGGTGTTTATCAAGCACCAAGACACCCCCATTGTCAAGGCCAATAACTGGGCCCTCAGCTACATCCTGCTCATCTCCCTCATCTGCTGCTTCCTCTGCTCCTTACTCTTCCTTGGCCGTCCCCACACAGCCTCCTGCATCCTGCAGCACACCATATTCGCAGTGGTCTTCACTGTGGCTGTCTCCACGGTCCTGGCCAAGACCATCACTGTAGTTCTGGCCTTCACACTCACTGCTCCAGGGAGAAGCACGCGACAGTGGCTGCTGTTCTGGCTTCCTAACCTCCTCATCCCCATCTGCACTCTCATCCAGGTGACCCTCTGTGGACTCTGGCTGCAAATCGCTCCTCCCTTTGTGGACAAAGATGCACAATCTGAACATGGGTACATCATCATCTTATGCAACATGGGCTCCCTCACTGCCTTCTACTGTGTCCTGGGATACCTTGGCTCTCTGGCCCTGGCCAGCTTCACCGTGGCTTTTCTGGCCAGAAACCTGCCTGACACCTTTAATGAGGCCAAGTTCCTGACCTTCAGCATGCTGGTGTTCTGCAGTGTGTGGCTCACCTTCCTGCCTGTCTACCACAGCACCAAGGGGAAGGCCATGGTGGCCATGGAGGTCTTCTCCATTTTGGCCTCCAGTGCAGGTCTCCTAGGTTGCATCTTTGCCCCCAAGTGCTACATCATCCTGATAAGACCTGAGAGAAATTCTTTCTCCAGGTTCAGGGAGAGATCAGGTTCTGGAAGAAACAAATTTTAAGATAAACATAGATGTTGCCTAGAATGTTTAGAAGCTCTGAGAGCAATCTGTATCACATCTTAGTTTAATGTGAGGACTTCTTTGAACAAACAAGTTTCTCTTATTCATTTCTCTGGTTATGTTAGAGACATAGCACATTCCCAACAAGTCCTCCTACATTTGCATTCTAACGGATATTTTGTGATTCCTCCAGAGTAATCTGTCCTTTATACTATCATACTTCCTAATGAGTACATTATCTACTGTGCTTTTTCCTTTCTCTTTCCTGTCTCAATTATTCTTTCTACCTATCATATATCACTGCTTGAATATCACTATGTTGCTAAGCTACTAGTATAGGAAGTTGAACATTTCCATGTTTTCATTATGGTAACTCAAGTCCATTCTCTGACCTAACTGTATATTTCTGTGTCGCGTCCACCTCGACCAGCAAGGAAGACACGACCCGGGATTCTTCTCAAAGCAGTTTATTCAGGAACCTTGATTATTAGCTTCTCTCTCTCCCCGCACCCGCACTCCGGTTATAAGCCTCCTGGATGGCCAATCCCGAGGTGCCACGTGGCATATACCAATAGGGTCGCAAACACGGAAGCAAGCCAGCAGCCAAGCCATAGCCATATAAGGAGTTGTTTTTCACAGAGAGCACTCGCCATCGGGAAGGCGGAAGGCAGAAGCCAGCGCCATCTTTGGCTTGGCCGTGCCATGCGGCCGTGCCATCTTTGGTTGGCTCCCACAGCTCTCCACAGCTCCCCCTTTTTGTTTTATTAAGCGACAGGTAAGAGTAGAGGTTGGGCCTCTGTCTAAAACATTAATGAAAGGACCTTGCACTGGTCTTCGCCTGAGGGGCGCCTTCCCCAGTGACGACCAGGCCTGTCCGATGCCTTTTTTGCAGAGGTGGGACCTTGGGCATCAATCCACTTGCAACCCAACATGCTCTTCTTGGGCTCACGCCAGGAAGTGATTCCCATGTGCAGTGCGTTTGCCCAAGTGCAGTGCGTTTGCCTTACACCCTGTGCTATTCCGTTAACGTGGCAAGCCACGCGTGGGGGGACTGTCCGGCCTCAATGGCAGTGAAAGCCTGGACCACCATAGCCATACTCCTGCGCTGCGAGCTCCTAATCCGGCATATGCACCACAGGCACAGCAAGATCACCAATGCCAGGATACCGATAAGGGAGCCTAATCCCGCCCACTCCTTCAAATGATCCACAGCTGTCAAAATCCAGGAGGAAACATCTTGTAACAGGGCATCATCCATCCGGGTGGAGTTTACCACGACAATGGCCGATTGTAGCTGCAACATCAATTGGTCGAATTCTCCCGTCCAGTTGCCTAAAAGATAACTTGACAGTTGTTTAGACAAATTTGCTGCCTGAGTATAGTTATAGTACTGAATAGCAGTGATACAAAGCCCTTCATATTTTTGAATACATCCCAGCTGAGCCAACTGCCACATGATATCAACCTGTTCCTGCACAAGATCAATCCTTTGATTTAACAGCATCAGTCCTCCTTTTAATTGTGCAAAGGCCACTTGTTGTAAATCCAGAGCTCTGGCTGTAGTAGCCGACAAGTTATTTAAAGTTTGAGCCGTCTGCACAGTATGTGACATGGCGACAGCGGCAGCCGTCGCACCCGCAGCAGCCACAGCTATAGCAGTTACAATGGCCACTGTGATGCCAAAATCTCTCTTATGTCTAAACAAGGTTACAGCTTGAGAAGCATCTACTGGCACAGGCACCCAACGCGGAATGCGTGTAACTATGGCTAACGGATACTGAGAACTCCAGCAGGTAGCATAATAGCAGGTTTCATTAGTACAAGCACACACATCATCTGAGCATATAGAGATGTTGTTAATTACCAAAAACACAAAAGGGGAAACCACACACACGGGGGTAGGCTGATAGCTGATTACCGTATAATTTTTACTGAAACGACAATTGGCACCTATAGTATGGGCAGTACTAATCAAATTACAAGTCATGTTTGCTATAAAAAAGTGACCCCCTTGCAGCATAACTATAGGTTCAGCCTGCAAGCAACTTCCATTAAGACCACATAACAGCCAATTATTAAAGGGATTAATTCCAGCCCTAAATTGTACACTAGCATCAGACAAGACACTAGGGGAAAATGAAAAATGCTCAGACTCATCAGCCCAAATAACCTGTCATGATTGGCAACCTGTCCAGGGCCAAGCCTCCCCCATACGGTCAGGCAGGCAAAAAGGGGCCCATTTAGGTTGTTTTACAGGCCACGGGTCTCTGCTTAACTTTAAACTTTCATAATATCTGCCTAAAACAGTACCAACGAATCCAGTAGCATTTGTCCAAGCCTCAGTTGATCTCGGATTTCCATACCAATATCTAACATAAGCAGCTGGGGAATGAGTCAAGGCTATGCAACTACCATTAAGGGTCACATCACTTAAGCAAAAGCATAACGTGCCCATCAAGTTAATTTTTCTAGCTTCACCAACCCCTGCCATTTCTTTATCCTCTGGGTAAAAGGGAAGGTTAAGAGTCTTATTTGTGGTGAAAAACTTAGGGAAAAGAGAGGCGTCATGTCTCACAGGCATGGGCCCCGGGAATGCAGACAGTATCCCCCACCTCAGTACCGCCTGTCCCTGTTGGATCATCAGGAGCTGTATGATCAGCAACGCAATCTTTTGTTTCTTCCGGGTTTCGTTCATCTTGGACTCGCCGCACAAGTCGTTCAGGCACCCACACTGGATCTGAACGATTCTGAGGAAAAACACAAACAGATCCTCGTGCCCATACCAGCACGGGGTCAGGCCCGTTCCAGAGCCCGGTGAGCACATCCTTCCACAAAGCCGATCCTAAGGCCGAAGGAGTGGAACTGTTGTGCCTATCCGCTGCTGAGCGACCAGCGTTATCCAAATTCAGAAAATTTAGGGTGAATAGTGTCATGGCTATTCTTTGTCTTGCCGTAGCCATCAGGGGTCCAGCTCCCCCTTTTTGTTTTTGTAACATTTCCTTGATAGTGCGATGAGCTCTTTCCACAATTCCTTGTCCTTGAGGGTTATAGGGCAGTCCATGCACCAGGGAAACACCCATTTGAGTGCAAAAAGAAGCAAAGCGCTGCCCAGTATAGGCTAGACCATTATCAGTTTTTAGCTGTTTTGGCATTCCCCAGGCTGCCCACGCTTCCAAGCAGTGAGATATTACATCAGTAGCCTTTTCTCCTGACAGGGGGTGGCAAATACAACACCCGAAAAGGTGTCAACAGAAACATGTAGATATTTTAAACGGCCAAATTCAGATACATGAGTTACATCCATCTGCCATACTTGTAAGGGTCTTAAACCACGTGGATTAACTCCAAACGTAGGGGGTTGATGGTAAATAATACATTGGGGGCACTCCTTTATCACTTGACGTGCATCCGCTCTAGAAAGGGAAAAGCGGCTTTGTAAAGTCCTGGCATTTACATGAAATTTGGCATGAAAATCTTTTGCTAAGTCAACAGAAGAAGCATGGAGCGCCCACTCAGCACGAGTGTACGCATCAGCCAAGGCATTACCTTTTGTCAGTGGCCCTGGGAGGCCCGTATGTGCTCGAATATGCATTGGAAAAAAGGGTTCCTTGCGTTTCCATATAAGGGATTGTAACAAGGTAAAGGGAGCTAGAACAGAACTGGTAGCCTTTATTGTACCAACCGCTTCCAATATTTTTAAAGCATTTATTACATAGGCTGAATCTGATATTAAATTAAAAGGACAGGGGAAAGCTTTAAATACTTCAATTACAATCATCAACTCAACAATCTGTGGGTTACCGGGGACAAATTGATGCTGCACGGGGTCTTGGTTACCTGCAACATATTCCCCCTCATCCTGTTTTGGAGCCATCCGTAAATATGTTTATAGCCCCTCTAATAGGCTTTTGGGCAGTTACCTTTGGAAAAATCACTGGATGTTCCTTTACAAATCTTAGTAGGGGGTCTTTGGGCAAATGATTATCAATAACTCCTGGAAACATGCATCTCAAAATGGACCAATTATCAATAGTGGCACATAAAGTCTGAACTTGGTAGGCATTGTAAGGAACAATGATGGAGTGTGGATAAACTCCAAAAAATTGTAAACTCTGTTGAATTCCTTGTAGAGCTAAGCCCGCTACTGCCTCAGGGTAATATTCCAGCGCCTTTCCGGGGGAAACATGAGAATGTAACCACATCAACGGCCCCTTTTGCCAAAGTACCCCAGTTGGTTGGGCTTCAGTAGGAAGAATGCATAAATCAAAAAGTTGGCCATCTTGTAGCCTGTTTAAACAGGCGGCACTTAAAGCCTCCTCCACCCTTTTGAGAGCAAATCGGGCACTCTCAGTCAGGTCTCGTGGGGAGTTTAAATCTATATCTCCTTTTAGCATGTCAAATAAGGGTTTTAATTCATAATTTGGCAATTTTAAATACCCCCTTATCCAATTAATATCCCCCAACAATTTTTGAAAATCATTTAAAGTCTTTAAGTTATCTTTTCTCAGGGTCAATTTTTGAGGCACAATCGACCTGGGATGTATCTTAGCTCCCAGATACTCCACCACTCTGCCTGTTTGTGTTTTTTCTGGCGCCAGATAAAGACCCTGTTTTCTTAAGGCAAAAACCAATTCTGCATAGGCCTTTTGTAATCCAGCCTCCTCCTTATGAGCTAACAAAATGTCATCCATATAATGGACCACCCTGAGTTTTGGATGCCTTTTTTTAACAGGAGCTATAGCCCTGCCGACAAACAACTGACACATAGTGGGGCTGTTGGCCATACCCTGAGGCAGCACGACCCACTCATATCTTTGGTCAGGTTCCTCATGGTTACAAGAGGGCACAGTAAAAGCAAAGCGCTCACAATCAGCCGAATGCAAGGGGATAGAAAAGAAACAATCTTTTATGTCTATTACCATAATAGGCCAATGGGCAGGAAGCACAGAAAGCAAAGGTAACCCTCTTTGTACAGGGCCCATAATTTGCATCTGTGCGTT